CTCCTAAAACTGAACCAAGAATTTTTTATCTGCACTTCCTATAAATAAGATAATGTGTCTCCCAAGTTTCATACTATATTGAGCCACTACTACAGAATTGGACATATAAGTAGTACTTTGCACTACACCTTCAAGGTGAAGGTGTCTTGGATAGAAAAAGGGTGAACTTTTCGAGGCACCAATTATAAAGAGGTGCCTCAGATATTTTATTATTATTATATTAATATGCGAATCCGCGGCACCCACTCAGAAAGGGTGCCGCGGATATAATATTATAATAATAATAATATTAGAATCCGCGGCACATCCCTAAGCGGTTGCCGTGGATATAATATTATTATAATAATAATAATGGAATCTGCGGCACCCTTTTGGAAAGGGTGCCGTGGGTTCCAATATTATTATTATAATAATATTGGAATCCGAGGCACCTGTCATGACTGGAGCCCCGGATTTCCACCCAAAAATAACCCATTGGTCGCAATTTAAACCTAAGTAAAAAAAAACCGATCTCCGATCCCTAAGCTCCATCGCCACAGACGATCGATCTCCATTGCCGATCTGGTCGAAATTCCATTGACGACCATCGTCGGCCAAGCCGTGCGTCCAACTCGCCTCCCACTGCAGACAGCCGCGACGGCCAACCCTTGTCGATCTCCCTAAGCTCCATTGCCGGTCATCGCCTAAGCTCTCGCTCGACAGCCAACCGGTGCATCCCCTCGCCGCCTCGCTGCTTCGCCGGTGCGCCGGCTCGACCCTCGCGGTAAGTTCTCCTTATTTATTTATTTATTTCGAATTTTAATTATTTGAGAATGAATTGTGTATTTTCTAGACCTTCCAATTTGAAAGTTTTGATTGTGAGATGGTAAATTACTGATCTGATTCATCAGTGTTGTTGTCCTTATTTATTGTGTGTTTTCTAGACCTTCCTTTTGAAAGATACATGGGAATATTGAAAGGATATGTGAGGAATAGATATCGACCTGAAGGAAGTATAATTGAAGGTTATGGTTCTGAAGAGGCTGTTGAGTTTTGTACTGATTATTTAGCTAATGTTGAATCTATTGGTAATCCCAAACATATTCATGAAGGAAGACTCAGTGGGAAAGGTACTATTGGATTTAGACACTTTGTTCCACCTACTAATTTACGAGATAAGGCACATCATCTCATATTGGAACACCTTACTGAGGTTCATCCGTACTTGGAGCAACACAGGTCTATGATAAGACAACAAAATCCTTCGAAGGGTGAAAGATGGGTGGCTATTGAACACAATCGCACTTTCATAAGATGGTTCAATGATATTGTGATGAAAGAGCTATCTCAAGTGCCAAATAATGTCAGTGAAACCATCAAATGGTTATCAAATGGGCCTAAATTACTTGTGAATTGTTATGAAGGTTATGACATAAATGGATATACATTTTACACCAAGCGACAAGATGAAAAGAGTGTGGTGCAAAATACTGGGGTTACATTAGTAGCAACATCAAAAGATTATTCAAGTGCTAAAGATACTAAACCGATGGATGCTGTTATGCCTTACTATGGTGTGATTAAAGAGATTTGGGAACTTGATTACAATGTATTTCAAATTCCTCTATTCTGTTGTAATTGGGTTGATAATAGAAGGGGCGTTCAGATAGATGAATTGGGTTTTACTTTGGTTGATTTTGGTCGGTTAGGTTATCATGATGAACCATTCATACTTGCATCTCAAGCAAAACAAGTGTTTTATGTTTCTGATCCTGTGGATAAAAAGTGGTCAATTGTTTTACAAGGCAAGATAAGTATTGTTGGTGTTGGAGATGTTGTTGATGAAGAAGAGTATGATCATTTTGATGAAACTCCTCCATTTTCAATTGGTATTCAGTCTTTATCTGTAGATGATGATAACCTTGAAATTAGTTACATGCGTAGTGATCATGAAGAAGGATTGTGGGTTGACCATCGGCCATCATAGTGTTTTGCTGTAAGATTTATGAATTGTTGACAATATTTTTGCATGTGCAGGTATATCTATTGTTGACAATATCTTTTATTAGACTTGAAATACAATATAACATGTTTATTGATATATATTTTTGCATGTGCAGGTATATATAGGCAACCATGACTGATCATACTGGAGAAACCTCTAGTCCAACCCTTAAAGAAACTTGTATTGTACCCAAAAGAAGAGGTCTCAATTCATGCAGAAACTTGAAAAAGAAAAAGGGAAAAGGTGAAATATCAGTTCAGTTTGATGAGTTTAACATGCCAATTGGCGAGTATAAAGAGAAATTTGTCTGTTATATTGGGGCTTTGGTTCGCGATAGAGTAAATATCAACAGCGGCACTTGGCCCGACGTAGATGCAACGATTAAAAATTCAATTTGGACAAATGTTAAGGTATCTAAATAACTTTATATTAATTGTCAATTATTGATATACGTTATTGTTATTGCTTATGTTTATGTTGTTATTCAGGCACAATTTGGCCTTCAACATGATACACAAAAATCTTTTGTATTGAAAATTGCATCAAAGAGATGGAGAGACTTCAAGAGTAGATTGAAGCGTGAATATATTGTCAATAAGCACCCAAAGTATGAGTCTCCCGTACAACTCTATGAGTTCTTGAGTGAAGAGAGTTGGTTGGAATTTGTTGCAAATTGCGAGAGTGAGGAATTCAAGGTATGTTTATTTCATTTTATTATTATAAGTAGTTTAAGTGTTTTAGTTCAATTGTATGAAATAGATTTGGTATGATATATATTGCTTGATTTTGGCATTGTTTGAGTGAAGTATGGGTACAAAGAGCTTGTGTTTTGGACATTGTTTTATGATGAGACTAGATGTTTAGTGAAAATGGAGAGTAGTTTAGATTTATATAAAATAACTAAATAACTAAAACATAAACTTGGTATATCAAGAGTTTAATTTCTTAAATCTTTCTATACCCACCCTTTGATCTGTGGATATTATTGCCCATTCTGTAACAAAACTTCAATCAAACTTCAATCATTAATGGACATGCCTTCTAACAAAACTGCTCTCTTCAGTGGGGGAATAAATGGGACCGAAAGATTCCTGTTTAGCTTGATTCTTAATCTATGATTAATTTTGATCCAATAGCAATAAAATTTGAACTTCGATAATTTTGAAAATATAATTTAACTTATCATTGAAATTATAGAAAAGGAGTGAAAAGGCAAAGGAAAGGCAGGTATGCAATGTGCATCCACACTTTCTAGATTCTGCTGGATATGCAGGCAAAAAAGCAGAGTGGATGATGTCAGACCCTCTATCTTCACAATCTTCTTGTGCTTCTGTTAGTTCAACATTACTATCAGATGATCGCAGTTTTGACTGGGTACGAGCAAGAGTTAAGAAGTCAAAAGAAGGAAATTATTACATTCCGAATGAGAAAACACATGAGGTGTTTCATACAATTGTAAGTGCTATTTTTTTTAATTGTTATAAGAACATATAATATTCATATAAATTCTAATACTTGGTTTTATCTAATTGATTGAAACAGATAGAAAAATGTGATGAAGTTGGTCAAGGGACATTTCAACCACACAGACATCATGACATATTGTCTGCAGCTCTCGGTAAACCAGAGGATAAACGGGGTTCGGGTTCGGTAAGAGGAATTGGTTCATACTCCACCATCCGACAAGTATTTGGTAAACCAGAGCAGAAACATGGCATACGGAGTGGGCTTATGTCTAATGATGAAGTCCAAGTGCTGATGAAAACGGTCAAGCAAAATGCATTGTTGGAGATGCAACCCAAGATTGACATACTCACCCAGCAATTGAATATATTGTTGAATAACATGTCAGCCACACACCAAGGTCCACCAGGAGTTTCGATTAGCACTCCTCAAAGTGTTTATGCGCCTTGTTTTCAACCTCCGACTAAAAGCAATTGTCATTCTGTTGACGTATATCCAGTAACCACAATTAAGGTAATATTAAAAATTATTTTATAATCAACATATTATTTTCTTTTAAATGTAAACCTAACATATACAATTTTAACAATAGAGCCGAAAAAAGTGTATTCTTGCAATATGTGGTTTTGATAGTAAGCCAATCGAGGTTGCAAAGGGTACGGTTTACCCAATTACAGATGAGATGACAATGGTGAGCGATGCGCTACTTTTACCTGACCATGTCAAAGTGATGGTCGATGATGTGCTTGTTGGTGCAGAGCAATATAATCTCCCCGTGCCAACATTGCAGCATTACACTTTGGAACATATTGTTGGGAGTCACGCACAATGGCCTACTCACTTAGTTACTTTGGATGAGGTATGTAAGGTCAATTTAGTTCACGTTCTTTCTATATTGGACAACAAACTGACTTAGGTAATTGAAAACACTGTTTGTGGTTGTCTCTAGTGTCTGCATGTTATTTTGGGATTTCTTAAGCGATAGTTGCATACAAAATTGAGTATTCTTTTGAATTGTAAATTAATTCGAACACAATCCTCTTCTCTTGGTAGGAAAATGTCATAAAAAGCTCAGAAAGACAAAATATGCAAATGACAGGTCAAAGTGCTGACCAATCTGCTACTTATATACGACCTCCAATTGTTGGTGAAATGTGTTTTTGCTTTTGGGGACATATTGCAAGGAACTTGTCAGAGCGTTGTTATCATTTTCTGTTAAGAAAGAGTACATTGATGTGGAATTGGATTCTGCTGTTTTCCATCATGCAAACGCGATTGCTGTTTATGTGATGATAGAGGATATATATGATTTGTTGACATTGGCTTGCCTCGATGTCTCAATTATTCAAGTGTTTATGCTGTAAGTTTTAAATTGTTCATGTGTTTTATATACATTTATTTTTGTAAGTTTATTGAAATTTCTTAGTTGTTATTTTTCAGGTTTTTGAATAAGCGGGGTAAGCAGCTTGGAGTCACATCTATCGGGTTTGCATTTCCAACACAAATTTCAGCAGATATGGTTCACTTAAATTCCTCTTTCGTTACATCACATTTCATTAAGGTCATGGAGGAACACAAGGATCAGCATTTCATTTTGGCACCATATCATCAAAAGTAAGTATTTTACTTAACTAATTTATATAACTTAATAACTTTATTTGAAGTGGTTGATATTAGAATTTTAATATATATATATATATATATATATATATATATATATATATATATATATATATATATATATATATATATATATATATGTGTGTGTGTGTGTGTGTGTGTGTGTGTGTGTGTGTGTGTGTGTGTGTGTGTGTGTGTGTGTGTGTGTGTTTTTTGTAAATGTAGTAATCATTGGATATTACTTGTGATTTGCGCATCTTCAAAAACGGTGTATGTGTTTGATCCTTTGAAAAATATAAGGCACTTTGAAGTAAAAATTTATTTGAATATATAAGTACAATCTTAGCACAAATACTATGTATATATTTTAAATGATATTATATGTTATTTATACATCGATATAAATGTTTATTACTAATATAGGGCATTTCGATCTCTTTCTACAATTGGAGGAAGAACTAAAGCGATTGATTGGAAGCAATGCAAAGTATGAATTTAAAGTTAAAGTTTTAATATGATATTAACCTTTGTTTGTATTTCGTAGTGTCCACAACAGCCGGGAGGCGCTGAATGTGGATATTATGTACTAAGATACATGTTAGAGATCGTAACTAAGTATTCAAAGGTTGATTGTCTACATGGGGTAAGTAATTTAAATACAACTATATGTATATTTGAATTATAATTTATTAATTAATATGTTTACTAATTTGAATAATTAAAATTATTATGTAGATATTTGATAATGAAGCACCCTACTCCTTGAACGACATAGATGAAGTTCGAGAGTTGTGGGCAGAATATTTTCTAGAAGAGTGCGTGTAAACTTATTTAGTTTAAACAGTAACTTATGCTTAATTTGTTTATGTTTGAATGTAGTGTTGATTGTTATTATATATTGTGTTGATATTATAAGTGTATTGTGGTATTTTATTGTGTTGATTATTACTTGTGAATTATATATATTGTTGTGTTTGGGTTTATAGTTATTAGTGTTAATTATTAGTTGATTTTAATTTAATCATTGTTGAATATTTATAGATAGTTTAATTAATTGTTATTCTTTTTTGATAAATTTTTGTGTGCATCGGTGAATTTAGAAAATTCTGTACAGGTTGAATCAATAAAATTAGGTAATATCAATTATAAAAAAAAATATTAAAAAAAATATACAAAACCGCGTCACCCTCTCGGAGTAGGGTGACGCGGAAAGTAATAATAAAAAAAATATATAAAAACTTTCCGCGGCACCCATCATATCAGAGGTGCCGTGGAAAAGCAATATTATAATATTATTAAATGAGTATCCGAGGCACCTGCTCCGCTGCAGGTGTCTCGGATACTCTGTACTAAAAAATTAAAAAAAAATTCCTCCGCTTTTCGAGTCACCCTTTACGGGTGACTCGAAAAGTGAAGGAGAATCACAGTTTTCAAGATCCGAGTCACCTGTACTGGTGACTCAGAAAGTGTTTTATGGGTGACTCTAAAAGCTTTTTTTTGTACTAGTGAGCTTGAGTTGACCACTTAGCCCGAGACCAAATACTATACTACGTGTATGATGTATCCAACCTATCAAATACAATTGATGAAATCAAGCTATTAGAATTAAAATAAAAGCTATAAGTAATGTGGCATAACATTAGTATTTTTTGCATAACTGATAATGGTCATTTTTGGTAACATGGCTAATGAGATAATTTTGGCTGATTTGACTAAATTTGATTGGTTTGACTAGTCAATAGGCTATTTAAATGTTTGGTAAAATGACTTATTACATTAGCTTATTGGGACAATAAGTCCAAATTTAACAAGTTAAGAAGAGTTTTTGGTTAGTTGATTGACATTAATTACAAAATGACCATTTTATTCTTACCATCCCTAACATTTATATCTCTCATGTTGTTGTTCATTTGCCTTACCCTTTTTTCTTTCTATTTCCATAACAACAATAATAATGTTTTTATTTCTTTTTTATTTTGCTCTAATCCATAATAATAATAATAATAATAATAATAATAATAATAATAATAATAATAATAATAATAATAATAATAATAATAATATTTAATACTACTAATAATAATAATAATTAATAAATAAATATTAATTGTAAACATAATTTAAGAGCAGGGCCGACCCTGGGACAAAGGTAGGCTGGGCCCTTGCCCAGGGCCCATGCTTGGGGGAGGGCCTCATCCTACCTCTTATATATATAGTATCTATGTATTGAGTATAAGTAATTTATATACATATATTTCATAGTAAGGTGAGTTAGCTTGGTTAGTAAAATACTTGAATTTTAACCCCATTTAATTAAAGACCAATGATCCAATTTTTCCCTTCACACTTTAGAATTCCTCAAATTTACTTCTTTGCTTATATTTTAAAAATTTTACTTTTATTGATTTTTTGTGTTTAATACGGAGTATATTTTTAATGTAGTTTTTAAATATATAAATTTTCATATATTTATACTAAATGTATTATGTAAATTTTTTATATTAAATATATAAATTTCTATATTAAATTTTTAATGCAGTTTCTAAATTTATAAATTTTTATATACTTATATTAAAAAACTTCAATCAACTCATGTTAACCAAACAAGACACGTAAAAATAGGACGGAGGGGGTTATATGATATATTTGAGATTGAATTATAAAAAATATTAAAAGATAATTTACTCCGTACCTTTTTATGAATATCTAATCAATGTAATATAGAAGTTTCTATCATGTCTCACTGTATTCAAATTATTCTAAAAAAATAATTAAAATTTATCTATTTAAAAGAAAAAGTATTTATAAAAAGTAATTGTGTTTCATATCTTTTTGCATTTTTTTTTTTACATTTTGAAATATTTTAATTTCTTGCGCAGCTTCTAGTCAAAAAAGATTTTTAGCTTCACATATGTTTGTAATTATTGTTTTATAAATTTTTAATAATAATTAATTTATTATTTATTACGATAACAATGTTATTGTTTATAAGTTTACTCAATTTTAAATTATTTATTCATTTTTATAAACTATAATATTATTTATTTATGAAGGCACTTATACAATTATTTATTATTTTGCATTAAGGAAAGCACCTAAAAAAAAATTCGTGATTATTGTTGTGTATGTAAAATTGTTAAAAACTTGTTAATCTTATTTAAAGTTATTGATATTAATAATTTTTTCCTTATTTAATTTAAATTTTAGGCATGAAATATATATTAACCGGGACCCATCTTTTTTATCTTCCCTCGGACCTATAAAATGATAGAACCGGCCCTGTTTAAAAGTTAATAGATTAGTACAATATGTTTATGCCCTTATAGCATGTTGATCCATACACTTGACACCACCCAAAAATAAGGAGAGAGAGAGAGGAGGAGGAGGAGGAGGAGGAGGGAGGGAGGGTGGGTGGGTGAGTGAGTGAGAGCGAGAGTTGGAAAATGATTTTTTGAATAAAAATCTCGAAAGACATTTTGCTAAAATTGGTCATTTTTAATAGCCCAATAATGATTTTTTTTTTTTAAATACCATTTGAAAGTCATTTGAGTTTCCAAATGGATATATATATATATATATATATATATATATATATATATATATGGATGTCAATCAAGCCAACTTGTTAGGTTTCGAGTTAGCCTTGTCGTGCGATTGGGCTAATCGAGTTTTATTTTATTTTAGTTTTTGTAGACTTGGCCCTAACGCTAAACCTTGCAGCAGCTATACTGTGGACCATGGTCCAAATATAGCAGGCACTATATAGTGTATCTAAACTGACACTGTCTCACGTATTATTTTTATATTATCAAACGAAACTGCAATTGAATTGAAATGAAACTGTAGCTGTGTTGAAATGAAACTGCAGTGTATACAAAATGAAATTGAATAACAATTTCACATATCAAATGAAATTGCAATTGAATTGAAATGAAACTGTAGTTGTGTTGAAATGAAACTGCAGTGTATACAAAATGAAACTGAATAACAATTTCACATATTTGAGTGTATATTGTCCAGTGAAACTGTAGTTATATCAAATTGATATTGTAGTTGTGTTGAAATGAAACCACAGTGTATATTTATTGCCTGGATCACAATGCATTGTGGACCGCAGTCCACAGTATAATTTGCCCTAAACCTTGAGCTGTCGGACTTATTTGGCTGGCTAAACAACTAAACTAGAATTGAAAATTGAGAGTTGGTCCCCACATTCGCTGGAGTGAGATGAGTTTTTAAAAATCCTCCATCAATGTTGATGGGTTGGGATTTACTTCATGACATATAAATTATACAAGCTACCTTATAAATTCACTACACGACATGTAAATATGTAATCTTATGAGTAGGGGTGTCAATCGGGCTAGTCTTTTTGGCTTTGGTTTTGAGCTAGCCATATCGAATTATCAGGATTCAAAATGTCAGACTTATGGCTCGGGCTATTTTTTTTTTTTTTTTGTCGTGTTCAAAATTCTTTGCCCTAACACTAAAACTTCCACTGTCAGGCTTATCAAGCGGGTTCAATTAAAACTTTTGACATTTTCAAATTAACATTCTAAACTTTTAATTTTAATAAACTAACACATTTATACTACTGTAATAAATATAAACTTATACATCATCCAATCAATCTAAATCTCCATTTCTAAATTCCAACTAGAAATAACTAATATCCTTACACTATAATATAATATTTATAGTAAGTATTTATTTTTCATTATTTATTTTCATAAAACATATTTTATTTTGTAATATATTTATTAAAATTATATTTAAAAATTTAATTAAAAAAATTAAAGATGAACTTATCTCTAGAAACTCGTTGTATGTTATGTTCCACATCACTTTTATAACAAAAAAAAAAAGTAAGTTGCTCGGACTATCCTAATAAAATTCGCGCTAACTCGTTCGGGCCACCATATCAAATTTATCACCTTCAGACTAAGGATCCTAAGATGGGCATCCTTTTATATATATATATATATATATATATATATATATATATATAATTTTATCCATGGATTATCTGTTTTTCCTGTAAATAGAAAAGAAAAAAAATAAAAAGCATTCGTGAAATGGGGCCAGTCCTCAACTTTTTCGACCTTTGCAAATATATCATCTTTGGCTTATCCATCACCTGATTTTGGCCGGGAATTTTGATATTTGTGGGACTAAAAAATGAATTTTTGTCTATATTTTTTACTTTGATGTAATAATAGATATATATTTTATCATATACTTTATTTTAATATAAGATATATCTTTCAAATAATTAATGACTCCAAAAAGGAGAAATAATGACAAATCACTACTTATCTAAAAACACTCATATAATTGTTAATGTACTTTCTATTTTAAAATAGTTAGATAAGCTAGGCACCTACAAATTTAATTTTCTCAAAAGTCCAATCTTATCATATGTCAATTTTTTAATACAAAGAAAGAAAATAAAAAAATATATTCTATATATAAAACGTGACAAATGGTAATACAATTTGTGTTCAAAATATGGTGAATACTAACTTTGAATGTGGATTATATGATTATTTGACATCTCTAGTTGT